TTTGGTAACCTTCAACTTTTTCTATGTAAAATTGAGATTAGGACCAAAACAACATATTTTTCTCTTGAGAAATGTTGCTACCAACTTCACTGGACACCGATCGATGACCTTTATCTTGTAATTTGTCAACGATTCGTTTTGCATATGGACTTAACATATTATTTTGAGTTTATGAGGAGCTAGAGGATAGTCATCATGTTCATCATGTAACTCTGGAGGATACTCCAAATTAACCAGGAATAGTAAGCATGAGGAAGACGAGAAGACATGGCATAACCATACAAATTGTTTTCATCAAGGTAAAGGAGGTGGGTTTGTTCACCACCGGTGGGACTTTCGGATTATTGGCTTTGACATGACGACGAACGACAGTTGTTAGTCCTCCTCTAATTCCTTTTTCAATCATCATTAACTTGTCAATGTCACAGAAAAGTTCAACGTCAATTCTCAACCGTCGAAACGCTGCAGCGCAGGAGAGACCTGGACCTGTCATATAATGTGGAGGATCGATTTCAAAGTCTTTTATCGCTGTTTCTTTGAAATTTTCAAACGATGCGGCTAACATGTAAACGTCAACCTTTAAATAAATATCGATTAAATCACCCAGAACTTCACAATTGAATTGTCTCCAAATATTTTCCAATCGTGTGTACATTTCGTCTGAAATATTTGAGTCAGTTAAAGATGAATAAAATTCATCTTTCGATGGTAAACGATCATCGTAAAACTTATCGATTGATGAAATACATGTATATTCATAAGGTAAAGTTGCTTTTTTCAAAACTTCCGATAAATAGGCCATTCTTGTCTCAGGAAAAGAAGTTTATAATAACTTGATAAATTACTACTTAGAGCGTCAAGACTCGCTGGTAAAAAATCCAATGAATCCAAGGAAAGCGAATCTACCAATAAAAAAACCCAATATACTTTTCAAGAGATGATGGAGTTATAGTTAATCTACTGTTGAAAATATTTTCAACAACATTTTTAATAATAATATGACCATCACAGTTTTTGAGGTTGTGAAAAAAAACGGAATTCGAGAAGGTAATGCTCGCTGAAGATTACAGTCAAAATGAGTAGCACCTCTGTAAACTCCTGTTAGATGACAATGATCACGAACTTTTGTTTGTTGATCTAAATAATCATTACAGATAATACAGTAGTTTGAAGTTAGAAAATCATTTTCATCCTCAGGTGACATGTTTAATGGTTTTATATTTTCTTTCAAATAATTATCGAGTGGGTCCGCTAGATCAAGAATCTCACGTAGAAAATCACCAACTATATCTGTCCCATGAGAAAAGTTTTTGAAAAGTACATTTTTTCCCAGTCGATAACAACATAACCATAACTACATGGCTCATGTTTAAATGATTTTGTTGGATCATCAGTAGGTATTGACAAGCACTCAGCGGTTATGACAAAAGGATGTTTTTCTTCCTTTTATGTGATTTTTCATTATGAATGATGGAAACCTGATCTTTTGGCATGATTATTCTTTGTGTTTCATATTGGTATTTTAACTCTACGATGTTCGGTTCGGCTGCTATTAAATTTTCCGCACCAAAAAATTGGGTTAAATCACGAACGTTCATGTCAATTTTAAGAGAACCAATTGTCAGATCGACAATTTGACAACGGATATCACATCAGGACAATGAGACCGTTCGATTGATGAATAGAAATTGCTATTGAAAGTCAGCTTCGAGAAAAAGTTACTCATTGACCAAGTGACTCACTGACCTCTTCTTCACGAAAACTGATCAAACATCTTGGACAATAATGTCTTTGATAAGCTGATTTCGAAGATAAGAGACGTTGAAATGATGATATTGGATAATAATGTTCATTATGTAAAAATAATTTGACATGTTTGTCTAATTGATATTTAGTTATCCGAATTGGAAAAACATATCTATCATCAATGTTATATGAATAAACATTAACTGAAACATGATTAACTTTTTCAAATTGATCAACTTGTTTGAGATCAACAATTCCTCGACAGAATGAAAAATCATAAAGATTGATAAATGAATCATAACTTCTGATTCTTTGTGGATTTTTGTTGACGGGATGTGCACAAGCAAGAACTGAGAACATGAAGCAATCCGTATCAGTTTTCAAATCTATTAAACATTTTTTGATTTTAATTTTGATGGAAGAGTATGAGATGAACACCCGCCCTTGTAAGGTCGATATCTTCCAACACTAAGTTCAATATATTGAATTGATTCCATCTAGAATCCGCTTTTTTTCAGAAACTGATCACAAATTTACGAATGTTGAAACATTGATTCATCTCATTAGATAAATCACCTTGATAAAGTGGTTTATTTGTTGAATGTAAATCAGCGACAATAGTATCAACTTGTTGAACCGATAATGTACCATTTGTATGTAAATTAATATTTGTGAAGGATAATAGTGGTATTCAATAAATTTGTCAGTTAATTCTTTAATTTTCTGGTTTGTCTTGCGCCTGATCTTATTTTAAAGGTAATAAACGGGACTTTTTTTGATGAGTAAGCTAGCAGCTTTCATGGTTGATCCGCACTGACTCTTTTCGCCTACCGGGACAATGATGATGAACCAGATGCTGCCTGAAGCAGCTGATGATCCTGATGAACCGGAGCCAGCAGCAGCAGATGATGATCCTGAGCCAGATGAACTTGAGCCAGATGATGAACCAGTTCCTGATGTTGATGCAGTATACTGGTGGCAGTTGATCCCGATGTAGTAGTGGTAGTAGATGATGAGTCAGATGAATGAACCTGAAGCAGCACCTGATGATGAACCTGATCCAGATGATGAACCAGCTCCTGATGATGAACCAGAGCTGCTGTCCTGAAGCAGCTGATGATCCTGATGAACCGGAGCCAGCAGCAGCAGATGATGATCCTGACAGATGAACTTGAGCCAGATGATGAACCAGTTCCTGATGTTGATGCAGTATTACCGGTGGCTGATCCTGATGTAGTAGTGGTAGATGATGAGCCAGATGAACCTGAACCTGAAGCAGCACCTGATGATGAACCGATCCAGATGATGAACCAGCTCCTGATGATGAACCAGAGTTGTTGCCTGAAGCAGCTGATGATCCTGATGAACCGGAGCCAGCAGCAGATGATGATCCTGACAGATGAACTTGAGCCAGATGATGAACCAGTTCCTGATGTTGATGCAGTATTACCGTGGCAGTTGATCCTGATGTAGTAGTGGTAGTAGATGATGAGCCAGATGAACCTGAACCTGAAGCAGCACCTGATGATGAACCTGATCCAGATGATGAACCAGCTCCTGATGATGAACCAGAGTTGTTGCTCGAAGCAGCTGATGATCCTGATGAACCGGAGCCAGCAGCAGCAGATGATGATCCTGAGCCAGATGAACTTGAGCCAGATGATGAACCAGTTCCTGATGTTGATGCAGTATTACTGGTGGCAGTTGATCCTGATAGTAGTGGTAGATGATGAGCCAGATGAACCTGAACCTGAAGCAGCACCTGATGATGAACCTGATCCAGATGATGAACCAGCTCCTGATGATGAACCAGAGTTGTTGCTCGAAGCAGCTGATGATCCTGATGAACTGAGCCAGCAGCAGCAGATGATGATCCTGAGCCAGATGAACTTGAGCCAGATGATGAACCAGTTCCTGATGTTGATGCAGTATTACCGGTGGCTGATCCTGATGTAGTAGTGGTAGATGATGAGCAGATGAACCTGAACCTGAAGCAGCACCTGATGATGAACCTGATCCAGATGATGAACCAGCTCCGATGATGAACCAGAGCTGTTGCCTGAAGCAGCTGATGATCCTGATGAACCGGAGCCAGCAGCAGCAGATGATGATCCTGAGCCAGATGAACTTGAGCCAGATGATGAACCAGTTCCTGATGTTGATGCAGTATTACCGGTGGCAGTTGATCCTGATGGTAGTGGTAGTAGATGATGAGCCAGAAACCTGAACCTGAAGCAGCACCTGATGATGAACCTGATCCAGATGATGAACCAGCTCCTGATGATGAACCAGAGCTGTTGCCTGAAGCAGCTGATGATCCTGATGAACCGGAGCCAGCAGCAGCAGATGATGATCCTGAGCCAGATGAACTTGAGCCAGATGATGAACCAGTTCTGATGTTGATGCAGTATTACTGGCAGTTGATCCTGATGTAGTAGTGGTAGTAGATGATGAGCCAGATGAACCTGAACCTGAAGCAGCACCTGATGATGAACCTGATCCAGATGATGAACCAGCCCTGATGATGAACCAGAGTTGTTGCCTGAAGCAGCTGATGATCCTGATGAACCGGAGCCAGCAGCAGCAGATGATGATCCTGAGCCAGATGAACTTGAGCCAGATGATGAACCAGTTCCTGATGTTGATGCAGTATTACCGGTGGCAGGATCCTGATGTAGTGGTAGTAGATGATGAGCCAGATGAACCTGAACCTGAAGCAGCACCTGATGATGAACCTGATCCAGATGATGAACCAGCCCTGATGATGAACCAGAGTTGTTGCTGAAGCAGCTGATGATCCTGATGAACTGGAGCCAGCAGCAGCAGATGATGATCCTGCAGATGAACTTGAGCCAGATGATGAACCAGTTCTGATGTTGATGCAGTATTACGGTGGCAGTTGATCCTGATGTAGTAGTAGTAGTAGATGATGAGCCAGATGAACCTGAACCCAGCACCTGATGATGAACCTGATCCAGATGATGAACCAGTCCTGATGATGAACCAGAGCTGTGCCTCGAAGCAGCTGATGATCCTGATGAACCGGAGCCAGCAGCAGCAGATGATGATCCTGAGCCAGATGAACTTGAGCCAGATGATGAACCAGTTCCTGATGTTGATGCAGTATTACCGGTGGCAGTTGATCCTGATGGTAGTGGTAGTAGATGATGAGCCAGATGAACCTGAACCTGAAGCAGCACCTGATGATGAACCTGATCCAGATGATGAACCAGCTCCCTGATGACCAGAAAAAGCTAGAGACAGCGACTGAGAGATGATGAGCCAGATGATGAACCAGGATGATGATTAGTGGCAGATCCTGGTAGAGTAAGATTACTTCTGAATAGCATGATGATGAACCTGATGATGAACCAGCTTGATGATGACCAGAGAAAGCTGATGATCCTGATGAACCGAGCCAGCAGCAGCAGATGATGATCCTGAGCCAGATGAACTTGACAGATGATGAACCAGTTCCGATGTTGATGCAGTATTACCGGTGGCAGTTGATCCTGATGTAGTAGTGGTAGTAGATGATGAGCCAGATGAACCTGAACCTGAAGCAGCACCTGATGATGAACCTGATCCAGATGATGAACCAGCTCCTGATGATGAACCAGAGCTGTTGCCAAGCAGCTGATGATCCTGATGAACTGACAGCAGCAGCAGATGATGATCCTGAGCCAGATGAACTTGAGCCAGATGATGAAACCCATGTTGATGAGTATTACCTGTGGCAGGATCCATGTAGTAGTGATGAGATGATGAACCTGAACCCTGAAGCAGCACCTGATGATGAACCTGATCCAGATGATGAACCAGCTCCTGATGATGAACCAGAGTTGTTGCCTGAAGCAGCTGATGATCCTGATGAACTGGAGCCAGCAGCAGCAGATGATGATCCTGAGCCAGATGAACTTGAGCCAGATGATGAACCAGTTCCTGATGTTGATGCAGTACACCGGTAGTTGATCCTGATGTAGTAGTGGTAGTAGATGATGAGCCAGATGAACCTGAACCTGAAGCAGCACCTGATGATGAACCTGATCCAGATGATGAACCAGCTCCTGATGATGAACCAGAGCTGTTGCCTGAAGCAGATGATGATCCTGAGCCAGATGAACTTGAGCCAGATGATGAACCAGTTCCTGATGTTGATGCAGTATTACCGGTGGCAGTTGATCCTGATGTAGTAGTGGTAGTAGATGATGAGCCAGATGAACCTGAACCTGAAGCAGCACCTGATGATGAACCTGATCCAGATGATGAACCAGCTCCTGATGATGAACCAGAGCTGTTGCCTGAAGCAGCTGATGATCCTGATGAACCGGAGCCAGCAGCAGCAGATGATGATCCTGAGCCAGATGAACTTGAGCCAGATGATGAACCAGTTCCTGATGTTGATGCAGTATTACCGGTGGCAGTTGATCCTGATGTAGTAGTGGTAGTAGATGATGAGCCAGATGAACCTGAACCTGAAGCAGCACCTGATGATGAACCTGATCCAGATGATGAACCAGCTCCTGATGATGAACCAGAGCTGTTGCCTGAAGCAGCTGATGATCCTGATGAACCGGAGCCAGCAGCAGCAGATGATGATCCTGAGCCAGATGAACTTGAGCCAGATGATGAACCAGTTCCTGATGTTGATGCAGTATTACCGGTGGCAGTTGATCCTGATGTAGTAGTGGTAGTAGATGATGAGCCAGATGAACCTGAACCTGAAGCAGCACCTGATGATGAACCTGATCCAGATGATGAACCAGTTCCTGATGTTGATGCAGTATTACCGGTGGCAGTTGATCCTGATGTAGTAGTGGTAGTAGATGATGAGCCAGATGAACCTGAACCTGATGCAGCACCTGATGCAGCACCTGATGATGAACCTGATCCAGATGATGAACCAGCTCCTGATGATGAACCTGATCCAGATGATGAACCAGCTCCTGATGATGAACCAGAGCTGTTGCCTGAAGCAGCTGATGATCCTGATGAACCGGAGCCAGCAGCAGCAGATGATGATCCTGAGCCAGATGAACTTGAGCCAGATGATGAACCAGTTCCTGATGTTGATGCAGTATTACCGGTGGCAGTTGATCCTGATGTAGTAGTGGTAGTAGATGATGAGCCAGATGAACCTGAACCTGAAGCAGCACCTGATGATGAACCTGATCCAGATGATGATGCTGATGAATCGGAGTCAGACGAATCGCTGTCATCATCATCAGAGTAATCAGAATCGTTTGGTATAATTTGATCCGCATTTTCATTTGAGGCGTTGCTTTCAGAGTCACTGTTTGTGTTTGATCCAGCGTAATTCTTCTCTGTAGTTTGCTCAGAATTGGTTTTCGATTCTGACTTGGTGAAGCTTTCTGTTTTAGCTTTCGAAGTTGATTCTGATGATGATGTTGGTTGTTGAACAGTGTTAGGTACGGAGTTAGATTTTGAATGGCTTGCAAACCCAGGAAGATTCATTTTCATCGCCATTGTTGGCATCGTTGGCCAAGCGTCGGCATATTGTGTTGCAGTTAAAGCAACCGCAGTTAAACTGAGAAAAATAAAAAGTTTGTTCATTTTGGCTTGAGACTAACAATTTAGTTGAATCACTTTGTAGATGGAATATGATGAGATGATTGATGAAATTTCTCTGAAACCTTGCAGTTTTATACTGTTCACTGTTTCATCTGATCAAATAGAAGGCGAATAATATACTCATCTAAAATTCACAACAGTATGCAAAGTTCATTTTCAGATCACTCATATTTACATTAGCATGTCGCGAGTTTAATCTATTTGTTGATGAATATTTTTCCAGCCACCAATATTTACAAGAAACAAGGTAAAATTCTGGTACTTTCAGCCACGATTGAATCAAGTATAACCTTTTAGGTTGATTTTTATCGGATTCTTGTGCAAATGTTGGTAGTCATATTCAGCTCATGGTTCAATGTTAATTTCTTTGAAGTTTTCATCATGAATGTAAGTTGAACTCCGTTTATGTATTTAGACTGGATTTTGCTCATGCCATTTATTTTATTTACTCATATGTATTTTTCAAAGTTCAAGTTGATCAGCAGTGTTTTTGTCGAGTTTTGCTATCGTAGGATTGGCAGTTACCTTGAATTCTTTAAGTCTGAATAAATTTCAGTTGTAGAAAAATTATAACCAATACATGTATTAATATGATTGTTAATTGTTGATTTTATGTAGGTTTATCAACCGCAATTTAACATCTAAAATGGAATGGCGAATTGTGCCGTTGTTATATGATGACCACATCAGGAAAAAATGAATTTTGAATCAAGAAAGTAATAGAAAGCAATTTATCAGACTGTCGCTAACTTGATTTTTAATTGAACTCAGATAATATCGAAAGTAACAACAGGCTCAAATGATCCAGTGTCATCTTGTTGACTACCAATTTTTATCTTAAAGTTGAGATGTTTTGCCTCACCACTGCGATGACCGTTGCTTATGTGTGAAACAATTGCATGATATTGATGAAGAATATCAAATATTTGGTTCATTGATTTAAGTGAAGTTGGAATTAGCAAAATAGGTGAACAAGTAGTACCTCGATTAACATTTGCTTTGATTGCTTGCAAATATTAATGAGGAGATAAAATTCAGAATCCAAAGGCTAGTTAAGATTAGAAACAATCACAATGGTTATAGCAGTTGGTTTTGATTGTCAACCATCAGTAAGATGTTATTATTTAGATCTCCTGGAATTTATTAGAATGACTTGATATCAGATTATTGTCGCCGTTAAAATAATTATCATCAAGATATATACATGACAAAGAGACTATATACAGTAGTGATCAAAGAGAGTTATAACGTGAGACAATTCGACTGAGTTTTAAAAATCATTCGCACAGGTAGTGATTGTCAAAGAGTAATAAGCTATAACTCTTTGGTGATTGTAAACAATTTATTAATATAATCGAATAATCAAAAAAGCGATAATTCAACCAAAGATAACAAAATGATTGATTAAAGTGCAAATTCAAATTTCGCGGAAGAAAACACTAATTTCTTTTCTCATATCACATTCAACTTCTCCAGGAAACAAGGTCACAGAATTTGGTGAATCACATCATCTGAGGTATCTGAGCTGTATTAAAACAAATCTGTTAATTTACCATAGCGTGTATGTTGAAATCTTCGCGAGTGAACAATGAATATGCGTTAAACTTGGTTATTCTGTGTTGCTGGTATGGAATTTTCAGTAGCCAAGTTATCAATTAAGGTCCCTGAATAAGCTCTAAATGAGCTCTAAATCCCACATGAAACAACATTAACGGTGTTAGAAACTTCTTAATCGTGTTTATTCATTCCTAAAAGTTGTGAACTTTAAAGCTCTGTTATTTGATTGGTTTGGTGTTTTTTACAAATGAGATGTTTTCAAGCTCAGAATAAACTTAATCACAATCTGTATTCATTATAATGATAAAAGTAACATAAAGATAACAAATCTCATAGGTTAACAGGTAAAGAGTCAAAGATGAAACCATTTTCAAGATGAAAGGATAGAGAAGATAAAACAGTCATAAGAAGGTAGTAAATCTTATTTTTGTAGATGTTAACAAGAACTGAATAAAATAGGAAATTGAAGAAAATTGTCGCCTTTCAGAAAATTTTATTTCCACTCTGGTTATGATTTCGTTTCTTTTTTTTGTCCTTTTCTCAAATTCGAAAATGAGAAATACTATGTTTACACCACCTCACTTATTCCAAAGTTTATCCCCACATCCCTCGTAGATTATTCCAATGAGGTGAATCCCGTTTACCCCATGGGCCATTCAGCTCATTCCAACCTCGTTTACCCCACATTCCTGATAAATTGTTCCATGATTGCCGAGAAGATGCTGAAGATGATGGTAATCCATCAAGAGATAATCCTTGTGATCCTCTCTTGCCCCACATTCCGGATAAATTGTTCCAAGATTGAACTGAACCTGGACCAGATGATGATCTTTTACCCCACATTCCAGATAATTGATTCCAATCTCGATCTCCTGGACCAGATCGTTTACCCCAGCCTCCGGAAAGTTTATTCCAACTATCTGACCTTTTACCCCAACCTCCTTGTAACTTATTCCAAGCAGCACCTTTTTTATCAAGAACTGGAGTCAAATCGTCCAAATCTTCAACTAAAATATCTTGAGTTTCCATATTGGGATAGTAGACGGTTATTTTGGATTTATGTTGTGAGGAGGGAGATAAAGATGAAACTGAATTAACTCCAGAATCAGAATCAGTTGCATATTGATCCAAATTGGTAACCGATTCGGGTGCAGATGAAACCATTGAAACTAATAATATCAGAGTGGAAAAGGTTAACAATGATATTGTGCTCATTTTCATATAGCTGCATGAGAAAGATTCAGTTGATTTAACCATTTTTCTTAATCAATTAGATTTAAATTTATCTGTGAAAAGAAAGAAAAAAATAATTAATGAATGAAATCATTTTGCTTTCAATTAATCGCCAGCATCACGTTATCCAAATTTATTGTCAATAATTTACTATCAAATTACAGTTGATGATAATCAATAATGTCAAAAGGTTTTATTAAGATAAACAGATAGGCTAACATTAGCTTGAGATATTCTGATGCTATATGGTGAATTCACCTATCTTTGAGCAAAGAATCAGTAAAAATGAATCAAAACCATTGTTAACATTAATTTCTGTTGACATTGACCATGAGAGCATTTGATAATATAATAATAATATCACTCTATTTAAATTTAAACTTATCATGTTATCTTGATGTATTCATTTGTATGCAAAGTTGTAAATATCAATTTGCTTGCTGAAAAAGTACAAGAAATTAATGTCTTTGAACTGAACCAAGAAATGATTAGTAAATCACATCGTCTTGTCAACAGATTATCAGGATTTTCTTTGTCTGGTCAGAATTGAATAAAGAGAGAAGAGGGAAAAGTTGAAAGTAACACTATTGAAACAAATTAATCAACATAGAAAAAGGTTAATTCAAGAATTGAAAGGATAATCCACTTTAGTTTAATCTCTTGATCCAACAAGAACAATTATAATCTTGTTTTCGTTGATATTTACAAATGTTTGAAATAGATTAACAATTTAAGCAACATAAAATTAGCTGATACGATAAATCATGAGAGAGAATTACCATCATGAAACTGAGATTCTGTTAATATCTGGTGACAAAAAATAGAAGGAGAAAGAAAAAAGTTGAGCTCAATATTGTTCCTGGAAAAGTTTTCTCAGTTTATTGGATAAGTTGAATGTTAATATTTTAATTTTCCAGGAAATTTATTCAATGTGATTTGAATCATAATCAACATCAATTAATTATGATGAATTATAATGGGAAAGTTAATTATCGTTTCGTTATCAACAATTGAATAGCAACTTTTTCAATTTTCTTGCCTAAATATTGATTCAAAGTTAATTTAATAATAATAATAATCTCATAATGATCATTTCTAGTTAGCGATTAAAAATATTTTCATACTAATTCAATTGACTGTCAATGGTAATTAATTAATAATCATTGTCATGATAATTTTAATTGACATTTCAAGGATCATACATGATAATATAATATAAGTAGACCTTTAATTAGCAATCAAAGTTGATTAACTTTTTCTGTTCCAAACTTTCACCTTTAATTAAATTCATTTCCTAATTTATGATATTTTTTGCTTCTTGTTGAAAATGTAAAAAAAAACAACTTTCAACAACAATTCAATTTAAACATTGTAACAATTAATTGATTGAGATGATTAATTAGATGTACATTGTAAACTAAGTGTTGAATATTTTGAGGAGAAATATAAACTGTTTAATTAATTGAAAGTAATCAAGGTGAACAGTTAACAGATTAACAATTAACATTATTAATATTAAATTGATAATAGATTTAGTTTTTCACTTCAATTAAATTAACTGTTAACGATTAGATAATCTTTGACCTAATTGTTTTTGATTGATTAAACTTGAAATTCCGTTTTTTTTTCTGTCCATGGTGATATTCATGATGAAACAATCATTATATTCATCATGATAACCATCATGTTCATCAAAATTATTTGTTTACCCAATAATTTATCAGGAAAATTAAAAAATTATCACTAAAAACTTTTTGTTGATAATTTTTTGTCTTCGTCACTATTTTTGCATCACCATTTTAATGTTAACTTTTTTGATCAATCACTTTACTTTAATAATAATCTGTCATTTAATTTCACATTTTAGTCTAATTAATTCATTTCACGTTGATGGCCAATGGTCAGTTTGAAAGGAAACAAACTGACCAGTGTCCTCGAAAAATAAAATAACTTGAGTTACAATATTGAAAATTTTGCTCTCTAGTATTTAGTCTCAGGGGTATTCATAAAAATTGACCATATCTTGGATCAAAAAACTTCATCATAATACTTTATGTTATCATAACAATTAAATCTGATCAATAAATCATACTTGAAGCAATTAACAATCTCAATTTATATACACATACTATCTAATGATGTTTCATATTTCATCGCTAAACAATATTATTAGATCATAAACTGATTGATTCAGTTGATATTGATCATCAACCATTCAACGAAATGTTGATTTACTTACCTTGGAATAATTTAATGAATGAATTTTAATATCACCAAAAAAACGAAAGTAGAACCGCACAAATCTAAATAAATAATTAGATTTATGATCAATAATTAAACGATCAGATGAGTGTTAAGATAAATTTGATCAACAAGTTAACAGAATCAACAACTTTTCATTCATAGGAATCGATAGTTGATTGAACAATTGACTACACATCCACTGAATAGTGTTACAATTTAAGCACAATTAGTTAAATAAATAAATATATTTGAATATGAAAAACTGAATTTAAACTGTTTTGGACAATAAGATTAGTGTTAATTTCAATTGATTGTAATCACTTTTACATAACAGGTAGTTGATGTTGGTGTTAATCCTTTTGGTTGATGTAGTTGATTTAGACGTAGTAAAGTTTCATATGCTCGATAATTTGGGATTTCTAAGTTTTCAGAACTTTTTTTCTGTTCTTACTTGCTGTATTATTACAAAGAACTGATAATAATAATAAATATAATATTCGGTTGACCAATGAAGATCAGATTGTAAGATGAGATTAAAAACTATTCTATTAGTTTTACTTTTCAATCTTATCCAGATAACTACAAACCGATAACTTAAAATGATTCTTCACTCGATTTAAGCTTTATTTCAATCGCTTCAACGATTTTCACCCATGGTTATTGTATTTATCATCATCATCATCATCATCAAGAGTATCTTCCTTTCCATCATTATCATCATAACTATTATGATGATTACCATCGAATTAAGAACATGCGCTTATTGATAAACGCTAGAGTAACAGTTCGCAGAATCATTTCTCAATGAATACTGATGAAAATATCAAGAGAAAAAACTAAAGGAACAGAAAAATTATCTAATCTTCACTTAAGATCAACAATATCATCAGATTTCAATTCCAAAGCAAAGTAATCGGTGGGTAACTCGATTTTTGAATTTCGGTCTGAATCAAATACTGAACAGGTAACCATTAACACTTCAACACAGTAATACCTTTTTACTCTCATTTTGAATCTTTCACTCTCTCTAGAATTGATAATATTCGATATGATTCATAATATTAGAATGTCTGAAGTTTGAATTACGATGCAGTTATACAAAGATAGTAATATAAAAGAGACAATATCCAGGAACTTGATATAGCTTAAATTGATCTTATCTGAACGGTAAAAAAATCACCAAGTAAGTTATTAGAAAATAAAATTATCTTTTTATTTCGCCATATCGATGATACCATGAGTATGAATATTTATAAAGGCAATTTAATGATTATTTTCAGCCCAAAACATGGGACAGACTCATGTTTGATTGCAATGATCTAATGAATTGGTCGTGAATGAGTTTATGCAAATGATTCAAACATGATTAGGGAGTAATTTTTAGAGTGAGTGAGTTTGTGAGAGAGAGAGAGAGATATGTATATATTATAATAGTATCATTAGAAATGTATCATTTGCGAGTTTGGATTGAGTTATGGTGCTCGGAAATTTAAACATTCCACTGAGTCACTGTAATACATTGGTGAAGATGATTAGCACTTTACATGTAACATGGGAGATGAAATTTGTTGAGCAAAAAGTTACAGATTTAATTTTTACTCCATTGATAATATTGTGAGTATTTACTATCAATCATTGTTTCAATTATGAATGAAATTTTAACTTATGATGATCTTTTTTTGTCTCTTGAATGTAAACTCCAAGGGATGGATGAGGAGACCTGAAGATATGCAAACTCGACTGATCATCATCATCATGGTGGATGTTCATTCACATGGTGGTAAGTTCAGCTTTTATTTGTTTCTCTTTCTATTCTTAATCTTTTCTATTTCATTGGAATGGTTTTTTCTCCATCTTTTCAACAAGCGTCTCATGATGGTCAACAGTTTGTAAGTGACCATTGTTATTATCAGCTAATCCAAGGAAAGTGTAACCAGATTTACGATCTTTGGCTACTTTATCTTTATATTTTCCAATAAAGTTCTGCATATACATGATAAAGAAAAAGGAGATAAATCGAAACAATTAATATTATACAAAAATATAAATACGAAGATACAATTTATCTCTTGAAATGTGAAAATTATTATCCAGTGAAGGTTGGAAAATAATCATCAAGCATAATTGAAATTCATGAATTAATGTGGGTGCTCATAGGTAATGGTAACATTTAGTGAATCATGATAAATGTTACCCTGATTTTTTGTTTCTAAATATGATGTAATTAAAGGTAAACCTAAATTTAGTGCGACGGAAACTAATGAGATAAAATTAAGTGCATATAACTGTGAATTACCTTTGAAAGGTAAGGCCATGTGAACGAGAAAAGTGCAAAGATGATTAATCCAATTCCAATTATAACTAATGATAGAGAGATGATTTCAGCCATGATAATTTTGGAAAATATTTTATCATATAATTCATTAGCTTTATCTTTAGGTATATCAGCTCCCTGTGAATATAATGTAAAGAAAATTAATTCATTAGAAACAATTTAGATTATTTTATATGCATAAATGGACTAAGATTGAATAAATGAAATACATATAAAAATATCCATGGAAATGTTTGAATTTGATTCATGATGATTATGATTATAATTATTATCATGGTAATTTTATCATATCAAATTGTTGTTCGTATTTTGATTAAGTTAATCAACTGTAAATCACCCGAGAATAAATTGAATAAATTAATCATTAGCTGTTAATTCAATTGAGCCGGTTGATTGGATGATGAGGAAGAGAAAAATGATTCTGAAAGTGACAATGTCGTACTTTTTTTTATATCCTGATTGAAATGTAATTGTTATAAAAGTTTAATTGTTTACTGTTTAGTGAAAGGTCAGCTAAGTGATGAAATCTTGTTGGTCAAGAAAGGATGATGATGATGATGATGATGATGACATTTCTATCAAATGGCCAACAATGATGCAGATAAACAAAAATGTATTGAATGGCTGTAAGGGTGTGGAAAGTGATTGTAAATGAATTTGTTGATGTAGAAGAGGATGATAAACAAGGAGGATGAGGTAGGAAATGGATGGACATGAAAATAGTGATGAAGGTTAAATGATGGAGATCGTCAGGGTGAGAAGATCTGATGAAAAGAAAGTATATAAGATGAAGATGATGATGATGGAGAGAAGAAAAAAATTACAGAAAAACATTCAATGTTATCTTTGGTAACATGATTTGTCTATTAGTTAATAAATGAAAATAAACTAAGGTGATGAGGAAGATGAGGAAGATGAGGTTAGAGTGAAATCATTACTGTTGACATTGACAGGTCAATTGATTATGTGATGATGAGACTTGGATGAAGGAGGAAGATGAAGATGCTGATAATGATGCTGACGAAAAGATTATGGAACCTTAAATATTGATTAATTATCTTCTAGTTAAGATAATCTTTTAATTGCTGTACATCATTTTCATCGTCTAACTTGAATCTTTATTTTTCTTTTCTCATTCTGATTACAACCTTCTTTTTTTATATACCTCATTAGCAATTAGTTAATTGTGAAAGGAAAGTTGATTAAAAGTTTGAATAAACTTTTACTCTCAATCAAATTGGTTGTTTGTTCATTAAACATTTTCCATTGATTTTAACTGTATTTACCTGTGGAGTTTTTTTTTCATGGTAAATCAATCAATTTGTATGCAACAGTTTGATTAACAATGAAATTTTCTCATGATGGAAACAAATTGTAAACATAATACAATGAGTTCCATTGATTTATTAAGTAAACTTTCAACTTGCAGTTTCTTTGAGTTCTGATTAATTTTATTCAAATTGAATCAATGAATTATTGGGTCGCTTCATATATATATGGAATGGAAGACATCCAATTTAATAGAATGTATACAAATTGGAGATATTACATGGAAAAAGAGGAGAGAACAAAAAAGAAAAGTTTTTTTCTTATTCTTGAGGAAAAAAAATTCGAATTTAGAAACTTTTTCCCCTCATTGAATCGAGATAGACTTTCGTTGAATGAAAGTTCTGATATAATGACAAAAGACTTCTTCTTGAAACTTACAATGTTTTTAAGAGAATAATTTGTTCACAATTTCATCTAGAAATTAGCTAAAGGTAAATACTGATTACCATGAATAGTTAGAAAGTTTATCATGGTTTTTGGAATTTGAATTATCATGATAAGTGAGCTCGAGTTTAACATATTTCCTGAATCATTAAAAAGAGGTAACCTGAATATGGTTCACAGTTCAAAAAAGTTCAAGGTGAAAATTCAATTAAATGAATTGAAAGTAAACCAAATTAATAAAAGGAGAAATGAATTGTTGTATTTCCAGAAGAAAATTAAACAAATGAATGAATCGAATCAGAGTTACTCTCGAAAACAATTAACCGGAAACTATTTCAATGAGTTGCAACAGGTAATGTGTTCATATCGATCTTTTTCCTGTTCCAATATTAATCAAACTAAACAGAATCAATAGAAATTTAATTTCGAATCCAAATTTTCAAGTAAATTCTCCGGAAATCGTAATGATTGATTGAATAGCTCACGAGAATCGTTATATGAATAAAATGTTCAAATAGAGACAATTTCTTTACCTGTGAATCTGTATTTTCATGTATTCCATTTGTTTACCTTATATTGTTGATTACTAACAATGTTATCGTTATCAAGTACGATTAATCTTATCAAATTGATATTGAACAGCAATTTAGCCTGAAACTAAATTTTCAACCATTTTCTCTATATCTTATTACATGAGGTGTCGAGAGTTCATTCATTCGCATTTCAAATAAGGCCCATCAACATGATATAGCAAAGTTTATCATGAGAGTATAGAATTTACAAAAAGTATCTAAGATCAACTTGAAAAGTATCTCATGAATGTTTATACTCTGTAAGTTTGAATGAATTTTGAGAGATGAAGAAAAAGGTAAGAGATTTTCTCCAATTGAAACCATGAATTCATGATGAAGTAAATTCTGTACAATCTGAACAACATTGTAATATCATCTTAATCATTGTTATCTTTTCAATTTCATGTTTCTTTAAAATCTAAGCTCATGATCAGTTGAAATTTACTCATGTTTACTCATCAATTTGTATGGTTGAAACTTTTTCTCCCTTTTTTTCAAACTTAGAGATAAACATGGTAACTATAATAATAGTAAATTAATTGAGTGAAAATTGTTGCAGAAATTGATTAAATAAAAATTTACAATCTATTCGAATTCAGCTATTATTAGATGATCAAGTTATCTTTTTTATTAATAGTTTTTAGGCAGAAAAAAAGTTCTGATGCCTTGAAAATAATTCAGTGACTATTTGATAAACTAATAAATGTTTTGATTGTTAGCCAAAGGTAAATTATGCTGAATAAGATAAATTCAATTCGAATAGCGAAAAGTTGGAACCTTTAATGGGTTCGTGTATTTGTGAGTCTAGAACATTTTACTTTGGTCAATGTTAATCATCTTGAATTCTTTCACATTGAGTATTCGTCAGAAATTTGAGTCTATTCTCGTGTATTATATTAATATAACTATCGAAATTTTGACCTTACGGATAAGATGTTATCTATTGAGAATACTAATGGAAACATTATTATCAAATAAGCTGGGAGTGTTTTTCTTTTTCTCACCATCGTCAGTTTATTCTTGTAAACGAGTTACATGATAAACTTTCGAGGATTCAAAAAGAAGAAAAAGAAAAAAACTTTCAAATAAAATGAAAGTGAAAAAAAAGAAAGTCTCATGTAAATTTAGAACTCGAAATATGTACAGATTATCTATCGAATTTGTGAAATCGCAGCATCAAGAGAATGGCAACTGTTGAATATGAGAATCAGATAATAGATAGAACAGAGGTGAATGAAAACTCGAGACATGGGATCATGGAAACTCAAGAGGAGGATCTTATGTGAATTATCTGATAAACGATGGAAATATTGATAGAACTACGAGAGATAAAAGAGTAGGAAGTAGAAACGATGCTATCAAGTTGATTCCTGATGATAATGAAAATAAAAAAGTTCCAAATGAATTTGATTATTCGATAATTCATAATATCTATTCGATAGTTTATCTATTCTATCGAACTTTCGTTCATATGGAAAGTTCTATCAGCTCTTTTCTCTGGTTACTTGGTATGGTGTTGTCGAAAATCTTTGTCCGTGTTATATTGAGTTCGTTCTTCCTCCTCTTGTAACATTTTATCCGAGTGATTATTTCATTATCTCTTTATAAAGACAATCTTTCATCTTGATAAGTTTCGTTCTCAGGTTTCTCATTCAGAATTACTCGAATTTGCTATATATACATGCTATCAACTAGAAGCTTGACCTTGAAAGTACAATAAAAGAAATCTAATGATTTTTATCATGGTAATGATTTTGTTTTACTTGGAACTCTGAGATTTTCATTGTTCTAAATTGAATAAGAATATAGAGATTCTAATACTTTTCATTAACTTGAGAGATAATAATGATTCTGAGAGTTTATGATTACATGGTAAACTTGTAAACTATCATGTAAAAATTGTAAAATTTTCAACTGCTTACGATAAATTTGATTATACAATTTCCCATCAACGTCTTTGAAAAAATTCATCTTAACCCATTAATTAATTAACTAAGAAGTTGAAAGTTTTTACATTACAATAATTTCCGTTTCCTTTTTCAAGCAAACCAACTTATTTTCATTTTCCAAAGTTCAGAGCTCTCTCTCTCTCTCTCTCTCTCTCTCTCTCTCTCTCTCTTAAGTTCATTAATTACTTTTAAATATTGATCAGTTTCTGTTGTTTATGGATTTGCATCAACAATTTGATTGCACTAATTATGATAATGATTACGATGATAGGCTAACATTGAATTAGTCAACTAACTCTGTTATTAATCAACATATTCCCCGTTTTTTTAATCACTTTTTTCCTTCATCTTCTAATGATCTCAATCATGATTACCTAATCATTCACTTAATTGGTTTAATTAAGCTGAAACTCAATGACAATTAAATCACAACAATTGAGTAATTTAGTTCTTACAAGTTGGAGAAGCAAAAAAAACATCTCCGAGTAAAACTCAACTTCAATTATCATTGCATTGAATTAACATTTAAAGTTACAGGATGAAGGAAAAAACTAAACAATTAAAAACAATTAAATCTCTTAATTTAAACAATTAAAGTTAAATTTACTTAGGCTACTTTATTTAGCTTTACAATTGAGTTATTAGTAAATTGATTGAATAACGAAATCAGAAAGTTTATTATTCCTTCTCGTTACTAAACTCATTCGTTAGCATTTTCGTTACCTAAATCAACGAATCAGTTATCAGTAATCACTTGATTATTTAATTCGATTAAATGTATTAATATCATTCTCTTTTATAATAATATCCCTTTGGGATATGGTAGACGATAAAATTCATCAGGTAGAAGCATATTAATGTCATATCAAAAGTACATAGTAAG